ATGACGCTCAACCAACTGAGCCACCCAAGTGTCTCTTCCCACAAAGAACAATCTAAGTATGAATTATAGTACTCTAAGAGGAATTTTGCCGTCCTTCTCCCAGCCACGTTTTGAACTAGGACTCATGATTCCAGAGAGTGGCCAAGGAAAGAGATGAAGGTTTGAACAGTGGTCTGGCTATGCTTCAAAGCACAGGCATATGGTTTTGGGTCTGGTCCCAGATGCCTTTGAGGATCTGGTGGAAACCACACCCCTGTCTCCAGAAATATGCCTGTGTTTGAATCCTGGCTCTCCTATTTACTAGCTGGGGGAAGTGGGGCAAGTCACATGGCCTCCCCATGCCTCTGCTTCCCCATCTGCAAAATGGGAATAATAACAGCGCTGGCTTTATAGGGTTATTGTGAGGAGTAAAGACTAACATTTGTATAGCATTTAGGGCAGAGCCTGGCACATGGCTGTGTTCAAGACATTAGCTATCATTATCATTATTTTTTAAAATTTTATTTAATTATTTTTTAAAATGTTTATGTATTGTTGAGAGAGAGACAGAGTGCAAGCAGAGGAGGGGCAGAGAGAGGGGGGACACAGAATCTGAAGCAGGCTCCAGGCTCTGAGCTGTCAGCACAGAGCCCAATGGGGGGCTGGAACCCACAGACAGAGAGATCACGACCTTAGCCAAGGTTGGACACTTAACCGACTGAGCCACTGCGGTGGCATTATCATGGCATTATCATCATTATTGACGTTCTCCTGACCCAAGGTTTTCTCTTTGCCTGCCCCACCCTCGGAAGGTGCTTGTGCTTCCCCAAACCAAGGTCTGGACCTGAAGTGTGTTCCTGAACCCAGGCAGCTGTGGGGGTGATAGTAGGTTGCCCCAAAGAGGAAGAAGAAAAGAGGGAGGGATTAGGGAGGACATGGTGGAAGCCGGCAGAGGAAAGAGGCTGGGAGAGCTTCCCCCAGGCTGGAGAGATGGGGTGCCTCCGCTAGCAGCAAGGGCAGTGTCCTGCTTGGGCAGTGCCCTGGGGAGGTGGTGGACCTCAAGGGACATGGCTGCATGGTGTCCTTGTGTCCTGTCTTGCGGGGAGCAGAGATGCTTGCCCTGGGCAGTTCACTGGACGGGCCAGCGTGCACGGCCTGGAGCCGACCCAAGACCTCAGGGCCCCTAGAGTAAACCGACTCAGGACATCGAATTTCCACCTAGTAGCCAGGAGCTCAAATGAAATTTCATTTTGAAGAATTAAAAAAAAAGTGATTGCTCATAGCCAGGGAATATGGAAACCTAAATCCATACCTGCTTCCCCTGCCTTCGGCATTCTGAGTTCCACTGCTAAAGCTTTTTCAAGATCTTTCATTCTCAGAAAGTTCCGCTACAGTTTCTGGGGTGACGTCGGTCCTGTGCACCCTTGGGTCCCAGGTTCTGCCTGGCTGCCCTCCGGACCGGTATCCACAGGCCCCAGTGAGGTTCCTGGGGTGTGGGCAGCATCCCTCCTTCTCCCTGGCCATCTGGTACCCACCTTGCCCACGGGCACCATCTGCACGATACAATCTGCAGGATGCTATGCAGTGCTTTCCACCGGCACTATGGTTGCAGCAGGTACCGGGATGCGGGATGCAGCGTAGGGAGGAGCTACTGGGCAGGACCCAGCCCTGTGAGTGGCCGCAGGGCTTGGAGGCTGTGGTTGGGCAGTCAGCGGGCTTTGGCCTCTTGTCATGGGCGCGAAGAGGAAGAGGTGCCTGGTGGGAGCTGGGAAGTAGGGTCCCCCACCCCACGCTGGAGGGGTAGCTGCCATCGACCTCACTCAGTCTGGAACCCGCAGGGTCCACAGGAACCTCCCACAGGAGGCTGGCCCAAGGGGGTGGCATCAGGGGTGACGTGTGGCCTGGGGGCCAGTGCAGGTGCTGCGGGATCAGGCTGGGATGAGGCCTCCAGTGCAGGAGGGTGGGCCCCGTCTCTTCAGGGTCAACCTTCAGAGGCTTTGTTTTCGTGCAATCTGTAAATATCCTCACAGCCCCCCTCCTCCCCCCCAGCAGTCTATTACAGAGCTCTCTTAAGAGTCAATTCTACAGACGAAAATCTCCTCACCTAAAAGTCAGGAAGGATGTTGGGCCAGCTCTGCAGTTCACACTGTAGTTACCAGATGCTTCCATGAGACAGGCCTAAGTAGCTTCTCAAAAAAGGTGGGACTTTTGTGGAGCCAGGGAAGCCAGGATGCATAATGTTTTCTCCCGGCCCCAGTGTAGAAGGTGCTGCTGTGGTGGGTAAGGAACAGGCATGGAACAGGCATGGAACTGTGTTCCTACAGGGAGAGGGTGGGGGAGGGGAGGCTGTGACTAGCTGGCGGAGGGACCTGGGTCTAAGCTGCCCCTTAAGTGGACTTTCACCGGAGGTCCCGCCCCTGGCCCCGCCCCTGGCTCGTGTCCACCCAGACACACCTTCCCCTGCCCAGGGCTGACTTGACCGTGAGCCTTTCTGAAGGTTCCAGATGCAGGCTGGCTTGGCACCTGATGGCCCTACTTCAGGCCTCCGTCTGTGGCATCCCCATGGTCATGATGCCCCAGGCCCTCCGCAGGCTGCAGTCTCTCCCCTGGCTGCCTTGCTCTGAGTCCAGCAGCAGTTCCCCAGGCCTGTCCCCACACAGCCTGGGCTTCTTCTCTTCTCCTACCCGGTTCCCTGGCAGTTGAGGAGCCCAGCCCCTTAGGGCACAGATGGGGAGAAGGAGACCTACCGGAACCGGAACCGGAAGGGAGAGTTAGGACCACAGGCAGGTCCCCTGCCACTTGCATGGCGTCTGTTCTCTGTTCTTTCTGCTTTCCAGCCATGCCCTTCCCAGATTGGACTGAACAGATTCTGTGGCCTAGACCTAAGAGGAGGCTTAAGGGAAGCCCGTTGCCCTGTGAGATATTTCTAACAGCATCATCTGAGAGTTGTGAGTTTCTCAGGCTGAGCAAGCCTGGGGTGGGGGGTATTGGGCAGGTGTGCAGGAGGCCCTTTGCAACCTAGGTGATTCCTGCACGTGAGTGCCTAGGTGTGCTGGCGGAGACCTTCTAGCTCTGTGACATCCCCCCTCCCCAGGGAAGTGCTGAGTCATGGCTCACCTACCATGTGTCTCTTCTTCCCCCTTTGGAGTGGGTTGAGTGCCGAGCTCAGGTGGGGCACACAAGCATTGCCAGGGACCAAGAGCGACCTTGTGTGGCACCGAGGACCTCATGGACAGATCACATCCCCTAGTGTTCTCTTGGAATGTGAAGGATCCCAAGCAATCACCCTGTCTGGGTTCAGGTGGGGAAGGCAATCCTGCTCCTCTTGCTATGGTGCTCCTCCTGCTGTGGTGCTCCTCCACCCACCGGTCCCTGGGGAGCAGGCAGTCCCCCACCCCTGAGCACTGAGCACAGATATCCCCCCTGAATACACCAGCACACACCTGGCATGCAGCCCCGGCCTGGGTTAGAGTGTGGGGTCCAGCACTGGGTCGGTCTTGAACTCACTCGTGGCCTCAGTCTCCCATTCTGGGCTTCAGCTGTCTGAGCTGGTCATTGGGGACTTTTGATTCTACCTCATAGAGTCCTTCTGTCTGGAATTTGGGGACTTTGACTGAGACCTCCCTTGCTCACTCCTGGGGTCACCTAGAAAGGAGAGGGGTGGGGCTGGAATCAGGACAGCCTCTCCGAGGCATACATGGGCCAGGGGTACAGCAGAACGGGGACCCCTGGACAACAGGCTTCTCCAGCCCCTCGCGGAGAGTGGCAGGGTCTCAGCATCTACCCCATCCAGGGGAGAGTTGAAGCCTAACCTGACTCAGTAGGGGAGGTGGGAGGCTGTAGCCATGCTTCTTGTCCCCTCCCTGCTGATTGTGCTGGGGAGAGGCCCAAGGGCTCCCATGGGCTAGGGCCAGGACCCTTCTCCAGGAAGCCCTCCCTCTCCACCCATTGCTGCCAGGGGTCCTGAGGCATGAATAGCATGATAGCCAAAGAGATCTGGAGGGGTGGGCCCCACACCCCGCAGCTCCCCAGTGCCTGCCCCAGTGCCGGCCCCAGTAACAGTGGCTCACTGGCTCTCCACATCCGCATGCAAGCCAGGCACAAGGTCATTTCCATTTTATCAAAGGGGAAACGAAGGTCCAGAGCTGACTTGCCCAGTCACACAGCCAGTGAGCAAGAGAATTGGCCCCGGACCCTAGAGCTCTGGTTCTTAGACCAAGTGCATTGCCCTTTCTCACTAGTGTTCATCCCCTAGGGAGGAAGAAGCCTGGCAGGGCAGGTGCGTGAGGAGATAGCCTAAGGGGGGGGGGGAGGGCCTTCCTTCTGCTTCTTCCTGCCCCAACTCACCGACTTACCATCCAGGACCTTGGGGCCACCACAGCCAGACAGGGGAGGGAAGGCCACAGCAGCCGCAGGGCCTCCCTCCGTCTCCCCCTCCCACCCCCCTTCACCCTCAGCCAAGTAGATTCTTGCCCCTTCCCTTCCTGGGAGACGCCACCTGCCTCCACACGGCCCTGCCATCCCCCCAGGGCTGTCTCGCTAGGTGTGGTGAACACTCTCCTCCCTTCCCTGCGAGCTGCCTGAGCGCAAGACTGACACTCAGCCCGGCCCAGGCCCGGCATTCAGTAGGAGCTCAGTGTGTGAGTAAGGAAGTTGGTGGCTGGTAGAGTGAATGACTGGGGGAGAAAGTGAGGGCGTGGGAGGGCAAGGCTGCAGGAGGAGGGGAGGTGGAGGAAGGAGACCCTGAGCAGGGGTGAGTGGGCTAGAGCTGCCCACCCCACCCAGCCAGGCCCCCTCCCTCAGGGATGTGGGCCCCTTCCCACGCTGTGGGCTTGGCCTTGGGATAAACCCCTTGGGTTTCCACGCTGGGCTGGATGCCCTCTTGGTCAAGCTGTGGTCCTGGCAGGTGGTGGCCACCGTTTCCGCATTCTGCTAGGGGAAGGAAGAAGCCCAAGGACGTCCCCTGAGCCCAGCTTTGGTCTGGCCAGTTGAGCCGGCAGGCCACAGGCAGAACCACAGAGTAGAAAAACCTTCTTTTATTCAGCCTGGGCCTGGGCAATCTTGCTCTGTGGTATGGCCAAAATACAAAAAATAAAAACCGACAATCAACAAAATAACGTTGTAGACGAGAGCTAAGTACAAAATTGGGCCTGGCATCCGGAATCCCTGTGGTTTCGGTCTGCATGTGCTCCCTGAGGCCGTCAGGGAGGGCTGCCTCTGGCTTTTAGCTGCCCCTGCCTGTGGGTGGGGGCTGGGCCCCGTGGGCCAGGTCTGTCCGGGCAGGAGGCTTCCTGGGGGGCCGGGCCTGCCTTGGGAAGTGGGGAGATGGGCCATCTGTCTGTCTGTCCTCTCCGAGATCAGGATCTAAAGAAAGAAAGAGAGCAGGGTGGTTTTAGGCTACAGGGCAGGACCCCTCAGACTGTCCGCAAGCCTGCCTCAGCCTCCCCAGCTGAGGACGCCCCTTCCACAGCCCAGATCCCAAGTGGGAGGGCAGGCCCTGGTTTCAAGAAGAGGGGCTTCATGGACTCATCGACCCACCCGGGGTGTGGTCTCTGCGCCGCCCCCTCCCAGAGCCCCGAGTTCCACATTGTTTTCTAGGCCGTTAGAGCTGCTACTGTCTGGAAACACTTTTTTTTTGTTTGTTTTTTTTCTAACTCAGTACTTTTTAAAAAAGCCTCCTTTTTCCTTCTCAGAAACTTGATCGAAACCCACAGGCGTCAGTCCCGTGGCCTTTCTGGGAACACTGCGTCCGGCTTCCTGTGCGCTGGCCCGGCCGCCCGCCTGCGGTCAGGGTAGCAGAGACGCTCTAATAAGACTTGAGCCTTTCCAAGCACTTATGTAAAGGGCTTGGAAAGCAGGGCCTCAGCCCTCCCTGGCCCGCAGGCCCCAGGGGAGCTGGAGGGGGGCACGGGGTTGCTTCTCTGTCTGCCCTGCTGAGGGGCCTAGCTCATGGCCTCACTGGGAAACTGGGTGTTTTTTAATACACCTTTCCCAGCAGCAGGCGGGACAAGAGAGGGATGTAGGCTCCCTGCTTCCCTGTATAGCCCTTGTCCCCCTCTTTTCTATGTGCCCTTCCTTCCTTCCTTCCTTCCTTCCTTCCTTCCTTCCTTCCTTCCTCTTCTCTTTCTCCTTTCACGGAATTGCTTCCCAGAGGCCCTCTACAGTTTAGATGGCCCCTGAATTGGGAATGGCCGAATAAGAGAGGCTGTGAGGAGGAGGAAGAAACCCAGGCCTATGAAAGAGCCAAGTTGCCCGGGATGGGGCAGGAGTCAGTTGTTTCAGACATAGGCTGTGACTGGGACAATTTTGACCAAATTCAATTCATGAAGAAGCTAATCTCTGTATTCAACTGGAGGCTGCTCTTCCCATTTTTAATATACATGGTGTGGTGGCAGTGGTGGTGGTGGTGTGTGTGAACAGTTAGTTTAATGGTAGCAGCCAAGGGTAAAAGAGCTGTCTCTAAATGGGTCTTGACTCTGATCACACACTGAGTCCTAATCCTGGTCACACACTGAGCACTAACCCTGATCACACACTGAACCCTGAGTCTGGTCACATCCGAACTTCATACCTGTCAATCATTAATAAGCATACACTTTTGGGGAAAGCTATCTCTCTGGGCCTTGGGATCTCTGCCATTTGTCCCCCAGCTCATGGCTCTAGGACAACTCCTGGGTTTTTTGTTTGTTTGTTTTTAAATGGAAAGGAGTTGCTGGGATCCAATCATTTAAAATTCACATGGAGTGGGGTGGGGTTTCTTTGTGAGTTTGTAAGCAAAGGGTCCCCTCTGCAAAGGGGCAACTGAGGGCCCTGCCCAGGAGCCACGTGCCAAAGGCCTGGGCCAGATGCGTCAGCTCCTCCTACAACTGGGCCCAAGCAGGGATGAAAGCTCGCTTCAACCAGGAACAGTTCTAACTCGGGACTGTTTCATTCAATCCACTTGATAAAGACACTGACGTTTCGCTGAGCACCATTATGAAGGATTCTCCAATGCGCAGACATGAGGCCTTTCAATCTTTCAATCTCACAAGCCTACATGGGAAGGGCCTATTTTGTAGGTGAGAAAAGTAGTTCAGAGAGGGGAGGCGAACTGTCCAATGTCACAGAGTGAGGAAGGGTCACCTCCACCCAATTATGCTGCCTCCTGCTGGTTCCCACTTGGAGCCACACCATCTCCCCCCAGATCAGTACCCCGGGGCCTGAGCTCCACCACGAGCACTCGGCTTGGGGTTGGTATGGACGCGGTTCCTCCTGCTTAGCCTGTGGGCTGGGCCCAACCACAGCTGTGTTTGGCTAGGAAGGTGACCCAAAGCACAGGTACCCTGTGTATTTCATGCGTCCCTGCCTGTTTCTCCCCTGTTTCTCCTCTACCCCTGGGGGTAGAAAAGGAGCTGGGGAGGGGAGGGTGGTGTGTGAGCACTTACTGGACAATTTTGCAGTTTGTTGTAGAAACATAGCGACCTGTATAGTGGATGTTGCATCTCACCACATTGTTGGTGAAGTCAGACTCCAAAACAATATACTTCGGGTTCACGTGAACCTGAAGAAGAAGGGGAACAGAGAGAAAAATTGGGGGGCTGCACTTCACTTGGTCATTAGGGAAGGTGGCAGAGGTGCAGACAGACAGACATGGAGGAGACAGAAAGAAGGATAAAGGAAGATGAAGACCCCTCAAAGCCAAGAGATATGGAGACAGAGCTACACTGATAGAGAGACCTGGAAAGAGAGAGGGGAAAGAAGAGACAGCTCATGGGCAAAGAAAACATCACCAGATCACTCTTGATGGAATATGGGATGCTTCCCCAGAGCAAGAGCCTGGGCCAGGTGGGCCCTGCACTGGGCACTCAGGGTCAGAGAGGTTGAGTCACTGCCCCAGGGAACACAGTAGTGAATGAGGGAGGGGGTGGGCCTGGTCTCCTGAGTCTGAGGCTGGCACCCTTTCACCACCCGTGCCTGCCTAGATGACCAACAGAAGGGCTGTCCGCCGCCAGGTGGCATCTGTCGCCCTGGAGCCGAGATAATGGCCCACCTGTGCCTTATGTCTGAAGAACTGTCGGGGCACAGGAAGTCTTCTAAATGTTGGATTAACTGGGGTGGGGGGTGCTTGGCTGGGGTAGGCTACACCCAGACTTGTATTTGCAGAACGTCTAAGAACATGTTACTTTTAAGTCCTTTACGTTCCCCGAGGGCAGGAATGGTGCACTACGTATGCGGCTTGAATCCCTAGTGCCTGGAACTCAGAGGGATCTTTGTCTGGTGAGTGGATGAACAAGGGAAGGAAAAGAACCCCGGCCCCTGGGTGACGCTGAGCAGAGGGGCCTCTGAGCTTGCTGGGAGGCGCCTGGGCCGGGACTGTAAGCAGTGGCTTCCGGGTTGCTGTGTTGTGAATGGGCAGGCTGTGTCCATGCAGGTTAGGGCACCACCCGAGCCCACCTTCACGGCTCACAGCTCTGTCTTTACTGCCCTTGGGCGTGGAGCTGCGGGTCCAGGGGCCCTGGCGGAATGGTTCCCCACCTTTGCTTGCACCTTCACAGAGGAGGCTGAGATCGGACTTCCCCAGGTGAGGCCACCATGCCCCGGCCCCAGCACAGCCTTCATGGATGTCCCGCATGGGGCTGTGTGTCCTTAGCATGTTTTCTCCCTGCTCCCCACCCCGCCTCGAAGGGAAGTGGCTCTGGAGTAGCACTCATTGGACAAGGGGTTCAGGCCAGAAGGGACTCTTGGTCACAGGAGCCATGGGCTTTGCAGGGGTCACTGGGAGGAGTGGAGGGTCTCTTCAGAGAATGGCAGGGTCCCCTTCCAGATGGCACAAAGCCTGCCCTGTCTGCAGACAGGGGGGTGCACCGCACTCCAAGTCCTCTGTTGCTTAGGGGAGACTGTGTGACTGCCTCCTCTAGCATCACCACACCAGGTGCCTTGGTGCCTCTATGGAAAGACTGTGTGCCTGAGGCTAAGACCCTCCAACCGAAAGAGGAAACCCCCTACTCCAGGCTGACCTCCAGGATGCCACCTCTGCTCCATAGCTGGGGAGGAAGGAATGCATGTTGCAGAGACAGGGACACTGGACAGGAGCCACGGGCAGGGGGAGTGGCCCAGACCAGGAGGCCCACCTTGAGGACATAGTTCCCGGGCTGCACATCGGTTATGTCAATCCATTGGCAGTCGATGTCCGCGTTGTAAGTATCATAGCAGCCTGGGCTCAGGCCCTGGAGAAAGGAGACAGGATCAAGGCTGGGGTGCCTCCCTGTGCCACTCCAGCAGTCTGGGCCCCACCTTCCTCTGGCCCCGGGTAGCTGCTCTGAGTGGGTGTGTCCCTTTCCTTTTTTTTTTTTTTTTAAATTTATTTCTAGGAGAGAGAGAGACAGCATAAGCAGGGGAGGGTCAGAGAGAGAGGGAGACACAGACTCTGAAATAGGCTCCAGGCTCTGAGCTGGCAGTCAGCACAGAGCCCGACGTGGGGCTCGAACCCACGAACTGCGAGATCATGACCTAAGCAAAAGTCAGAGGCATAACCGACTAAGCCACCCAGGCGCCCCCCCCCTTTTTTTTTAAATTTTTAAAGTTTATTTTTGAGGGAGAGGGAGAGAGAGAGTCCCAGAGCCTGATGTGGGGCTCAAACCCAAGAGCCATGAGATCATGACCTGAGCTGACATCAGGAGACGGACAATCAACCGACTGAACCACCCAGGTGCCCCAGGGTGTGTCCCTTCTTAAGCCAGTGGGTGGATGGGCCAGAGAGACAACAGGGAGGTATAACAGCCAGGTGGAAGGGACTGAAGGAAGGGGGTGCTTGGAGAGATGGATGGAGGGGTGGATGAAGAGACAGAGGGGCAGGACAGATAGACACCCTGTGGATGCTTGGACAGATTGACAGAAAGGTGGATTTGGGTGAACCACCAGACAACGGAACACCATGCCATCTCCATTTCGCTGCAGTGCTCCTTTCTTTCCTTGGGCAGCACACCTGGGAACAACGCGGGGGGGGGGGCCCAGGCAGGAGAGGGGGGCCGGCGGTCCGCACCGGGCCCTGTGGTGGCCTGATGACCAGTGAGAAAACCCTTGCTCTGACAGACTCAGACGTCTTCAGTCTGGCCCAGCCGGACGTCGCTCTCGGCTCCCCAGTCCCCCCTTGCCCCGCTCCCCTGGGCAGGCTCCCTCCGCCGCGCCCCCCCACCCCTCCCCATACTCCCGTGTCCCCACCACGCCTTCGCCTGGTCGGACCTGTGTGTGGGAGGTGCACGCATAGCGCTTGAGGTTGCCGAAGTCACAGGTGCTGTCCTCTAGGCAGAAGCTGGCCTTGTGGCCTTCGGCTACCTTCTTGCCTGTGGCTGCATCCAGCAGGTCATAGTGGCTGAACTCATCCATGCTGTGGTAATGTCTGGGGGTGGACGACAAGAGAGGGGAGGGAAGAGGGGCTGCTGTGACACAGCCTCCTGACCAGTCTGGGCTCCTGGGGCTCCTTGGTTCCCTGTGTCCCTCGGGGCAGTGTCTCTGGTGCTCCCCACGTGGCCGGGTCACCAGAGGGCACCTCCTCAGGACGCCTCGCTGTCTTCTTGGGCTCCCACCTGTACCAGCCTCCCTGGGGCAATTCCCTGTATTCTAGACATTTCTGCCCCCTAAGACTGATCCTCCTGTGTCCCCTCCTCCAGTCTAGCTTTCACCAAGAACCTCCTGCCCCAGTGATGGGTCCACGGCAGAAAGTCCCTCCCGGGCCCTCCCCGCAGCACCCACAGGGGCGTGGGGGGACCCCGCTCACTGGTGGCAGCTGTGCCACTCCCACGTGTGCCGCGGCCGGTTCGGGAGGAAGTCCGCGGTGCCCTGGTTCTTCACGCGCTGGGGGAAGCGGAGTAGCACCCGCACATCGTAGTCGGTGGCCTCGGGGGTGTAGGCTGTGCTGCAGGGACAGGAGGGGGACCGAGTGGGGCCGGGTGCCGTGACACCAAGGCCCAGAGTGCGCTGACCTGTCCCTGACAATCCTCACAACTGACCCCTTGCACTGCAGCCAGTGCCAGGCCTCCCCCGGCTCTCCTGGCTGCACAGGCTTGGCTGTCCCCTCCTTTCTGCCTTCCTCCATGTGGCCGGCAGCTACCGGGGAGTCTTTCTAGAGCAGCATCTGGTCTGACAATGACAACTGCACCTGCAAGTGACTCTCAGTTGGGGGCAGCCTCTGGGCCTGGGGGCCTATCAGTATCTTTGGAGGGCTTTTTAAAAAATGGCCCTACTCAGGAGATTCTGAGAAGCAGTTCCTCCTCTGGATGGACCCCTGGTTGTTGATCAAAGTATGCCATGTCTCAAGTGCGGGCCCAAGACACAGGCTCGGGCTCTTCAATGTCAAAGTCTCTTCACTTTCCCGTTCCTGTCTGCCCTGCTGCTCCCCCACCCCACCATTCTAGACTTCAGCTCCAAATGCTGTTTCTCACAGACTTCACTCCTGCGAATCTATACTTTTGCCCATGCTGTCATTTGACCCAGAACTCACCCAATACCAGCTCCCTCCTCCAGGAAGTCTGCCTTGATTGCCCCCTAAGAAGATTCTTGACTGCCTGTGAGCTCTAACAGCACTGCCTACGCCCAGCCCCATACCACATGCTCCTCTGAGCTAGGTCAGTGTGACTAGGCTACCTCTCCCTGACCGTGTGGCTTCTGGACCAGCGATCTGGACCCTTTTCTGTTTGGGGGGCACGGGTTTTGATGCAGACTGCCTGCTCGCAAGTTGCTTGCTGACCCCCAATTCCCAACTGAGATGGACTTTGTGAGAAAAGAAAGGGAGAGAGGAGGGGAGGGAGACAGAGACACACACGTGCGTGCGGGCGGACTGCAGCTCCCCCCCTTCGTCAGAGTACCGCTGACGGCTGTCCAGGCCGGCCTCAGGGGCACTCCCCTGGCACTCACTAAGGTCTGGGTCCTCAAGCCAGAGGCAGGAGGTGGCCAGTTGTGGGGATCAGCGCTCTCTGAGAGGATGTCTGTGCAACAGGCCGTGCAGGCTCCGTCTGCCAGGACGTAAGGCCTTTGGCCTTGTCTGGGGGAGGCTTGGAATCCGTCTGTGTCTGGGTTGGAACAAAACATCCTCCTTCCCTCTGTTCAGTTAAACCCTGCCCTTCTGTTTAGCCCAGCGCACCGTGGGAACCCATCAGGGTCTAGGTTCTAGGCCCAGCTTGGCCACAAGCACGCGGTGGGACTTGGAGCATGTCCCTTTCCTGCTCCGGGCTCTGTCTGCAGCTTGCACACGGGCTCCATTCTGCAGCCTGCACCGTCCACGATCCCCAAGGGCTCCCCCCGCCCCCCGGGCCTGGTTCTGCTGACTCTTCTAGGTGTGCGCCCTGCGCCCAGCTTCCTCTGCTGCCTCGGCCCTTGCTGGCCGTTCCTCCTCTGACCATTTCCTCCTTCTCTGACCTCCTCAGAGCTCCAGCCCATGAGCTGCTCAGGCCAGCTCTCCTTTCACTCTCTGTGACCGGCTGCTGAGGGGCCATTCTCCGGTGGACCAGGATGGGGGCGGGGCTGCCTCCTCCCCAGCCCATCTGGGAACTCTGGTCTGGGCCCACAGGATGCTTTGTGAAGATGGAGTGATCATTTAGCTTTGACTCAGACTCCTCAAAGCTCAGCCTCAGTGGACTGCCACGGAGGCTATGAGGCACTCACTGCTGGAAGGACTGATTATAGCAGGAACAAGATCATTATGGTCTCTTCCCGGAGACCGGACCGGACCGGGCAGGCCAACTGAGTGGCACAGTGGGCCTCCTTATCCGTGGTCTCGCTTTCCGTGGTTCTGGTTACCCGCGATCAAGGGCAAGACGTTCTGGACCTAGGAAGCTGTGAGTGAAGTTACATTCCGGTGCAAGCGTCTTATCCTGTTACAGACAGAAAATGCCTGTGGTCAGCTACCGAGTGGCAGTGCACGCGCAGGTCCAGAAGAGGGAAAATGTTGGGATTCCAAAGGGCTCCCCAGATACTGGAAAGTGAAAGTAAAAGAATTCAAATGGGAAAAAAAAAAGAAGGCAGCAAGTAATTAAGAAAAATAGATGGATGCCGACAAACGAGGCAGGACGATGTGCTCTCTAACAAGTTCTCTTAGCACAGGGAGATGTCCCCAGAGCATATGTATTCGGACAGAATATTTGCTGTTAATAAATTCGGAGGCAAGGTTGGCAGGCGGCAGAGTCACCCAGGAATAATGGAGAGTTGGCTGCGCTCACCTTCTGGTTCCTGCAAACTGGTCTCCATCTCCCCTCTTTCTGCTGCCACACATACCTGGGGCCCCTTTGTCACCGGCGCCCACTGCCCCAGCTGGAGGGCCACGCCTGTCCTCCCTGGAGAGGGCTCCGTACTCCTGCCCTCTATCCTCGGTCCCCCACTGGACTTGCCTGGATCCTCGTGGGAGCCCCTTCTCACGAGGCAGCTCAGATTAGAAACCTTTTTAGTTCCTCTCTTTGCTCCCCAGGCGCCTGACTGGAAAAACACATACCTTCAGGGCTGGTGTGAGGATGAAGTGCCCCAGTAAAGTTCCTATAAAGTGACCTATACAGAACTGTTTGCCTGTGTCCTTCTCCTCCTGACTCCCTGTGGGCAGGCAAGGCTCACAGATGAAGAGGTCAGGGTGCTGAGAGGCTCAGAGGCTTGGCCAGGGTCATTCGGATTGTAGGCAGCCTGGCTGGCGGGAGCACGGGCCGGGGGTGAGTCCCAGAGATTGTCCCGACATTCCATGCTTCATTGTCAGCTCCTTACCTGGCCAGACACTTCTCCTCCGCAGCACAGCGCAGGGAGTAGAGATGGGCCCTCTGGACATAAGTGGATGCTTGCACGTAGTTGGGGTCCGGGACCAAGTCAGGAAGGCCTGGGGATGGAGCAGGGGAGGGGAGGGGAGGGGAAAGAGTTGGCACTGAGGGGTGTCAGGCTGGCCACGCTAATGCCCAGAGACTGCCCCAACCCCAAGCACCCTTTGCTATTCTCTTCCTCTACACAGGCTGCCGCCTCCTCCAGGAAGCCTCCCAACCTGAGTCAGGGGTGTGATTGGAACTGTTCCCCCTGGGCTCAGGTGTGGGCCAGGGAGGTGGGGGAGCTCCATGCTGCGGGAGCCTCTGAGCACCCCCTGGAAGAGCTGGGATAAGAGCAAGGTCTGGGAGGAGGTTTGGTGAGCCAGAGAAGAGGAAAGGGTATTCATAGCAGCGCGTCCAGCAAGAACCGGGGCCTGGAGGCAGGACTGAGTGAAGCAAGCAATTTCCTGACATTGCCTCTGTGTCCTTGTTCCTCATGCGTCCGGACACCAGTCCCTGGACCCCGTCTGCAGCCAGCATTCTTCCTGAACCACCCGAGAGTCCTGGGCTCTGGCCCCAAGTGGGTCCCAGAGAGCTCATGGGCAGGGCCAGGTGAGTGCTGGTTGGCACAAGCGGGGTGAGCAGGAAGGGAAGGGCCAGCGTGAAAACATCCCTGGAGCAGGCTGCTGACAGCGCAGGATTCTCCGCCTGGGCGCCCAGCCCGGCCTTCTTCAGGATTCCTTTCTTCCTGCCATCGGCCCCCAGACCTGGCCGCACCCTCCCCTGTCTGCATCTCCTGGCCTCCAACGTGAGGGGCCCGGCTCCCCCCCCTGCAGGCCCTGGGGAAGTCTGGAGACTGCTCAGCCCCTGTGATCACTTATTCCCTGGGACATGCTAGCTAGCCCCAGGGGTCTGTCCATCCTGCACCTCCCCAACCTCTGTGCACAACGTGGTCCCAGGGAGCACGATCGGGACTTAGCAGACACCAAACTCAGCTGTCCAGACCCTCTCTGCATTGGAATAAAGAAGGAAAGATCTGATTTGGTTGCTGGGTGTGTGGGAGTGGTGGGGCGCAGGGCAGGGTAGGAGGTGGGCCCGGGGGTGGGGTGGGGGTGGGGGCTCCAGAGCCCTGACTTCGGGGTTTGTGAGCCCGGGGCTCTATGTCCCCTTGTGCTCAGGCTTCAGGGATTCAGCGATGACACGGGGCTACAGGTTGCTTAGTTTCTTTCAAGCTCTCTGCTCTTGGGGGACAAGTAAGGTACAGGGACTGGAGTCACAGAGACAGGATTCCAGCCCTTCTTGTTGCTGCCAAACCCCTCTTGTCAGCTCTCAGGTACTGAAGGTGAGGTGGTCCCTCACACACACCCATCCCTTGGGCTCCAGACCCCAGCCCTGCTCGCCCTGGGTCTGGGCCTCATGCAGGGAGCCTGGTCAAGGCAGCCAGTGTGATCTCACCTACTCGGAATGGAGAGGAAGCTTGGAGCACAAGGGTGGGTGAGGGTGAGGTGGCTGCTGGCTGAGGGGGGCTGTCTTGGCCAGCCTAGGTCCCCTTACTCAAGCTCCAGGAATGCCTGCAGTCATTTCCCCAGGGATCCTAGGGCCCCTCAAAGCGAGGGCCCACCTCGGTGCCAAGCCGGTTCTCACCCTCTGGTCCCCGGAAGCTTCCGGTGTGAGGGGTGGGGGAGGGGGAGGGGGAGAAGACAGGAACGGTCCCCTTCCCCATCATCAAAGTGCCTTACCCATAGCAACATGTGGGGGTGGGTCAGCGGGGCCTGAAGCTTCATGAGATCCAGCATTTGGCACCAGACGGTTTGCCTCTCCCACCCCAGGCCCGGTTTCAATAAACAATGCACAGATGGCTCCTCAAAGCTTTTCTGGCCCGACCCTTCCTCTCTAGGCCACTCCACGAGCCGGCCGTGCAGTCCAGGGAAGTTAGAAAAGCCAGCTGTGGAAGAGGCCAGAAGTACTCGGGGCCAGCAAGGGGCTGGTGCCACTCGCTCCTGGCCTGCGGCTGAGCCCCGACCCTGCTCCTAGACTGAGCCCCTAATTATACGGAGGTCTGACACCTATCAGTGACTCTGAACCTCAAACTCATTGTTTGTCCCCAGATCATGGACTAAAACTCTGTACTTAAAACAATTTTTAGGAAATTGTGTTGACATCGTTAATCATTGTTGATTATATCCTTGTTGATTAATCGATTATAACTGAGTGGGTGGGTTTTTTGTTTTTTGGTGTTTTTTGTTTTTTTTGTTTTTTTGTTTTTGGTAAACTCCAAAGCCATGGGGGAGGGGCATCTGTAGCGTCCATGTGGGGATTCCAGAGGAAGACAAAGTACAGATAGCTCCGAGCTGCTGGTCACAACCTGGGCCCTGGTCCTGGCCATAGGTGACCATCTTCCTCTTACTGTTGAGGAATCTCAGGTTCACACAGGTGCCTTCCTGCTCCAGGAAGTCTTCCCTGACTGGTGGTGACATTCCAAGCTCACATGCTTCTCCTGTCTCCTCGCCGGATCTGTATTGATCTATAATTAGATTTCATTGTGTTTACCTGTGTCTACTTCCCTCCACCCTCTGCGCTCTCTGAGGCAGGGACCAGGTACCACTTACCCCCTCAGCAGGCAATCCACCATGCTTTGGGGCTGACTGACTGCCTTGTCCCATTGGCCCGTGTCAGGCAAGTTTCTCTAATGATTAGTGACTTAATACTTCCTATTGTACCCTGTTCCCTGCAAGGCATCAGGGCACACGGAGGTGCTGGAGGGAACCAAGGCTCAGAGAGGGCAATGAATTTGCCTATGGCTGCACAGTGAGTTGGGGCAGCCCTAGGAGGAGCTCCCCACCTCCTAGGACTTGACTTACCACTCTTTTTACAAAAATCAACTTTTTTGAAGTATAATCTATACACAGTCAAATGCAGATTTAAGATAGACAGTTTGATAAGTTTTGACAATGGTATACACAGTGAGACTACTACCACCATCAAGCTACTTATTGTTTCATCATCCCTGAAAGTTCCATCCTGCCTTTCCCAGTAAACCCTCCTCTCCTCCCCTAACCACCCCCAAGTAACCACTGATCTGCCTTTCAATCACCTTAGACAGTTACGCCTTTCCTAGAACTTGAGTGGAATCCCTCCTACCATTATTTTATCTTCTTTGTTCTGTATCTCTGATCATCACAGGGGTCCTGGGATTCCCCTAACTGGCCCTACTCCACCTCTGTCACGCCGGGGGAAGCTGCTGGAAAAGAAAGTAGCCTTGGGCATTCAGGCTGGGCCCCCCTATACCTTTCAGAGGAGGGGATCCCCTGGGAAGCTCAGGCTCTTCCCTCAGCTGGTATGTTTCCCTAGGAAGGAGCTATGCTTCTTTTTCCACCTGCTCTCCCAGGAGGCACGCCATCAGCAGGGGACCTGAAGGCTTGAGCTCTCAGCCCCACGGGGGGCCGGGACTCTGGGGGACAGTGCATGTGTTGTTACAAGGGGGCAAGGGAAGGTTTGATTGGGGGCTGCGGATGCAGGAATAGGGGACTGGTCTGCTGTTTCCGGCTTATGGGGTACAGCCAGGCCCTCCAGGCAGGGTGGCCGATGGTGAGTGAAATACAGCTACAACTGGACCGTGTGCTCATTTTAAAAGTGTGCATTTTAAAAGGAAGACCCTGGAGAGAGGGTAAGGCTTACTCAGAAGGCAGGAGGACCCTCAGTCGTGTAGATAATTATTTTGTAGAGGGGCAGGAACCTTTTATCCAGAGTATATGGAGTCATGCAGCCTTTGGAGGTTCTATAGGGAGGACTCCAATGGAAACTTCTCCCAGACACCCCCATTTCTTTAAATACAGAGACTGAATTAAGCATAATTCTCATTTCAGAGCAAAGAAACCATTAGCACTGGTCTATACAAGGCCCCCCTTTTGGAATAACATTTTTTAAATGTTTATTTTTGAGAGAGAGAGAGAGGGAGAGACAGAGTGCAAGCGGGGGAGGAATAGAGAGAGAGGGAGACACAATCTGAAGCAGGCTCCAGGCTCAGAGGTGTCAGCACACAGCCCCATGTGGGGCTCGAACTCCTAAGCCATGAGATCATGACCTGAGATGAAGTCGGATCCTTAACTGACTGAGTCACTCAGGTGCTCTGGAGTAACTTTGTTTTTTAACCTTCATCATCACCCCTGACCTTCGGATATGTCCCTGAACATCTGTGTCTCTGTATAAAATCTCATTGTGTTGGGGGTGGGTATGTATTCTGAAAGTACATAAATGACATTGTCTCACAGTCTCATTCTGCTTCTCAGTCAATGTATAAACTTTTAAGATCTACCTAGCTCATTGTCATTGCTAAAGAGGACTCCACAGTGTGCCCCCTCTGGGGCCAGCATGGCCAGTCTTCTGGGTTGGACACCCAAGATGGGGCCAGCCATGCAAAGTGTGGCTGTATAGTCCTGCCCAGGCTACCCAAGGAGTCCCTAGTCACCATTGGCGTCCCGCCTTCCACTCCCAGGAGGTAGACAGAAGCTTGGCTTCTTACCCTACTCTGTCACCGACTTTGCGTGACCCAAGGCAGGCCTGGGCCCTCTCCAGGCCTCACGGCTTCCATTTACCCAGTTCTCATAACTCTCTAATCCACTCAAGGCCTTTTGGAGCTCTGGGCCTGTCCTGGGCACCCTCCTCCGGAAGCAACATGCTGACCACCAGGGTTGGGCCCAGAGGGAATTCAGGCTGCTCAGCGTCCGGGCTGGGGTTAGAGGGACATTGAGTCAGAGGGCGGTAAAGGCCCTTGAGATAGCTGAAGCCAGGCTGCTCAGCTGGGGAGGGGCTGGGTGTAGGTGAATCAGGTCACAGGGCTGTGCTGCAGGAAGCCTTGGAGGGGACCCCGTCAGGCCCTCAAGGGTGGGGAAGACACAGAACCAAGCAAAAGGACCTTCTGCATTCCTGCTCCATCCCTGGAACTTCCTCTGAGTGGGGACCCAGGGCCCCTTCACAAGGTGCTCAGGACCAGTCTGCCATGCTCCCCGTCCCGGGCTGGCCCTCACGCCAGCCTACGCGAGCCTGAGGCCCGCCGTCCTCTTCCCTGGCAGGACTTGGC